TATACACAGAAAGCTACACAGCCTGTAGGATGATGTCATATCTTTAGGATTTCTTATGGGAGGTGGAGATTAGGGACAGGATAAGAACAAACAAGATAAGGAAGATGGTTGCTTACAAGATAAGGAAAAATTGTTGTGACACAGGATGAGGAAGATTAATGACAAGGTAAGGGAAACAAAGGCAATTCTTTTGGTACAAGCTGTATGGTATTTTAAGATAAGGGGGAAAGGGCTTGAGAAGCTCTCAAGTTCCTGGATCTCAAGGTACAGGATGGGCTACAGAATGAGCCTCAAACCCCCTCAGAGGGCCTGGGAAAGTAACCCTTAATATTATTTTTAATCCTAGGGCACTCTTTGTCCCCACATCAGCTTCCTTTCTAAAGCCATGGAGCGATTTAAGACATCACCAATCCTTTCATCCAACCACCTGAAATCTCCTTAGGCCATCTGATGGCCTATGACCAACAGTAAAATGGTTTTATTCCATCTAGCTTGGGTTACTAGTGAGTATGATTCACAGTGTAAATGCAGCATGAATATCCAGTTTTGCTAAAGATATGTTAGTTATTTTTGTTTGTTAATACAAATTAAGCAATGGGAAAGAGGATGTGTGATGTGTCAGGGAGATCTGCGTTCTAGTCTAGCCTTAGACACATGCTGGCTGTGTGAATGCCCAAACTGCTTAATCTCTCAGTGCCTCTGGCAGCTCTCTAAGATTAAAAGCTGTAGAATAGTCACCAATCTTCACTGGTAAAAAGGAGTTTCTTCATTGGGATTTCTCAACACCAAATAAATCATAGGCCCAGGTCAAAATGAAACACAGCTAATGGAAGCAGTGAGAAAACCACCCAATTTGCTTCATTCAAACCTTTGTTCATGTGCAGGTTGGGGGAGCAGAAGGAATACAAGACCTAGGTTTGAGTCATAGCTTGAGCCATTGAGCAGCTGTGCGATCCTGGGAAAGTCACTTCCCTTTGCTGAATCTGTTTGTTGATCTGTAAAAAATGTGCATAATAATGCTTGTACTACCATGGTAGTATGTGAGAAAGAGATGTATTTGGAATCAGAGGACCAGGGTTTAGATTCTGTGTGACTTTAGGCAAGCCACGTCATCTCTCCAAGCCTTGGTTTCCTCTTTGGCAAACTGCAGGGATTAGACCAGGTGATTGCTGAAGGCACTTCTAACTCTAATTCCTGTCATCCTACTTCACGTGGATTTGGTGAGGGAAATATCCTGCCAAATATTGAATGCTACAGAAATGGAAGCTAGCTTCAGCATGACTTGTAGATGAAGCCTTCCATATGTATTATGTCCCCATTAGAATTTGGGCTTCTGAAGAGCAGGGACTGAGTTACTTTTGTATTTGTAAGGAAAATGCAAATGCGTGGGGCAAATACACTGCCTTTGTACATAGTGAACTCTAAATACATGGTTGGTTTTTTTTCATTCATGATTATGATTTTGACTCCAAGAATTCTACCAGTAACCTTTTGAGCGACCAAGAGCATCCCACATATGCTAGTCCTCCTAGCTATGTCCTGTAATACTTGGGGAATAAAGAAGCAAGCCTACACGTGAGCCCTGAAGGTCAAAATACACACTGTCTTCCTGCACTCATATGTCCTGCATCAATCTTAATTCACAAAATATTTTTTAAAATAGTCGTGTGCTCTACAAGGAATGACATGTGCTGAAGGGGAAATAATATTGTAGGAAAATTCTCCTATGGTACAGATCAGGGTAGGAACCTGCAGCCTTGAGGTCACATGTGGCCCTCTAGGTCCTTGGGTGCAGGCTTTACACTGAGTCCAAGTTTTATTGAACAAATTCTTTTATGAAAGGGATTTGTTCTGTGAAGTTTGGATTCAGTCAAAGGACTACACTTGAGGACCTAGAGGGCCACATGTGGCCTTGAGGCTACAGGCTCCCCACCCGTGGTACAGATGTTAGACTTGAATAAGAACCATAGGTCAGCAGCACTATACTCAGGTGAGAAGACTGGAGAATACCTAGGGGACAGCAATCCCAAGAGTATTCCACATCATTGTATGGTTGAACTATAATATGTAATTTTGAAATTAATAAAGAGATATTAGCAAAAGGTGGACAGGAGAGTTGAATAGTGTTTATCTGGGAAGGTTTAGTAGGGGAGGAAGACTGTGAGGTAGGCACGGATTTGCCTGAAAAGGAAAATAAAGCAGGCTGGAATTGAAAAGGGAAGGACAAGTAGAAAGCACTCTATCGTTTTCACCATTACAACTTTTGTTTATTCTTAACCTTACTTTTATTAGTAACTTTAAAAATACAACCTTCAGTATGTATAAATAGAGGGCACAGGGTGAGTTGAAGATGAAGGTGTAATATCTGGAGAATAAAATTAAGGGGTAAGAGAGGATTGTACTAGGAGAAGGAGAAAAGGGAAAGTAGAATGGGGTAAATTATCTCTTTTTACAGTGAACAGGAAACAGGGGAAGGTGAGAGGAAATGAGTGAATCTTATTCTCATAGGATTTGGCTTAAGGAGGGAATAACATACACACTTAATTGGGTATGGAAATCTATCTTACCCCACAGGAAAATAGGGGGGAAGGGGATAAGAGAGCAGGGGGATGATAGAGGGGAGGTCAGATTGGGGAGCGGGTAATCAGAAGCAAGCACTTCTAAGGAAAGGTCAAGAGAGAGAATAGAGTAAATGGGAGTGGGGGAGCTGGATAGGATGAAGAGAAATATAGTTAGTTTTTCACAACATGACTACTATAGAAGTGTTTTGAATGGCTACACATGTATAACCTGTATCAAATTGCTTGCCTTCTCAATGAGGGTGGGTGGACAGGGGGGTAGGGAGGGAGAAAATTTGGAACCCAAAGTTTTAAATACAAATGTTAAAAATTGTTTTCACATACAACTGGGAAATAAGATTTACAGGCAATGGGGTATAGAAATCTATCCTGCCCTATAGGAAAATAGAAGGGGAAGGGGATAAGAGCAGAATGCATGCCATCTTGGGGTAAGGGGAGGGATGAGATGGGGAGAAAATTTGGAATTCAAAATCTTGTGGAAGTGAATGTTGAAAACTAAAAATAAATGAATTAAAACAAATAGAACCTTCATTTAAAAATATATTCCTCCACCTTGCCCTACACAAAGATTCATCCATGATAACAAAAATTTAACAGGAAAGAGGGAGGGGAAAAAGCAGTTAAAAAATAGTCAACCCATCAATCATGTGTGATGGCATATACAATGTTCTGTACCATAACTCCCCACCTCTGCAAAGAGGGAAGAGTCACATATTTTCTCAACTCTTCTCTGGAGCCAAGCTTGGTCAGTATAATTATACAGGAGAGCACTGTATCATTTAAGTAGGTAGAAATTATTTCCCACACTTTCTAACTCTATCTCCAGCATCTTTCTCTGCTTCCTTCCAGTCTAATTCTGTTCGTAGGCATAGAGGTCCAGGCAATAAGGCATTCCATTGCTGAATAAAATGGAGTACAATGGACATTTTCCACATAAGCCCTGTAGCTAACCCGGTACCCCTGAGCTGAAAATTAGAAGGAAAAGGTCACTCATGTCAGAACTCACTCTCCAAAGCTCACTGTTGGCTAGAAGGATATTAGGCACAACTTAGCAGGCTGGTCAAGTCAGAGCATGATTTCAGCCTGCCTGACTGCTTACATTTCCATTTGCTTTGTGAGAACAGGGTTTGTCTATTTGGGTTGGATTGCTTTTATAAAAAGGGGAATATACTCCCCTGTGGAGACTACATATGAGAGACATTGCTCAAAGACAAAATACAAGAACACATTCACTAAATTAGCCAGTTCCATAACTTGGTGTAAAATTGCATAAATCCTCTAATTATCTCAGCCCCAGCCCATATTTTTCCAAAGCACATTTTTTTTCTTAAGAAATTATCTCTTCTGGGGGCAGCTAGGTGGCACAGTGGATAGAGCACTGGCCCTGAAGTCAGGAGGACCTGAGTTCAAATCCAGTCTCAGACCAAACACTTGACACTTACTGTCTGTGTGACCCTGGGCAACTCACTTAACCCCAACTGCCTGGAAAAAAAAAAGCAAAAAAGAAATTACCTCTTCCCCAAACCAAATGGGTGGGTAGGAGGGGGATAAAGAGGTGACCCTGGCTTGATGGCGGCCTTCTACACTTTGTTTGAATGTTTATCTCTGTTGCTATTCAGTTGTGTCTGACTCTTTGTGACTCTATGAACCATAGCATACCAATACTGTCCGTAGGATTTTCTCGGCAAAGATACTGGAGTGGGCTGCCATTTCCTCCTCCGGTGGATTAAGGCAAGCATGTTAAGTGACTTGCCAAGGGTCACACAGCTAGTAGGTATCTGAGGCCAGATTTGAATTCAGGTCATACTGACCCCAGGCCTAGTGTTCTATCCACTGAGCCACCTAGCTGCCTTTACCTATGTTACTTGATAAAAATAAATGTTCATGTTACTTGATATTTCTAATAAATTACAAGGCTGTTAATAGTGATTTTCATGTAAACTTACAAATTCAGTGTTTAATATTGAGACAAGAAAAACCAACTTATAAGAGATTTCCTTGGTTTTTCTCTTGCGTGAGGACTGAGCCTGTTAAAGTTTCTGTAAATTATGAGATTATTCCAGAGCATACCCACTAGAGTGCCTTTATATCTGAAGAGAAGAAATGAATAAGGAGAGGAATGGGGATTGGTGGGGATGTCCCTGAGTACCTAAAAGGTATATGAAAGCATCACACATCTACACCTCATATCACTACATAAAATTGCTCTCAGCACAATAGCAACAAAACATTTGGAATGAAAGTTTTGGTGGTGAAACACTTTCATTGAACTGGAAAATCAGTTTCCATTTGAATATAGTAATTCCCATCACTGGACATACCAGATAATTTCCTTTCCTAATTTTTACCGACCAATAGCCATAGTCAGGAACCATTTGAAAGAAGCATCCATGTGGATTTCTTTTTTTAATGTCATTTCAGCCAGTCTGAATGAGTGGAGAAAAATGACCACCAATCCTCACCAGTCCCCTTCTCTGATATTCATCAATGAGAAGAAATTCATTACAAGGTAAGTACAATTTCACATAATATTCCACTTTATTGTGATTTATGTGACCTGCTATTTGCAGGTAGTATAGAAAGAGCATTGGTTTGGAGGCTGTCTTAGCAGTGATGTTAAAGTGCTGCTCTTTTGTGTTGTTTTGAGCAGGGTTGTCACCCCCTCTTATACAAACTCTGTAACCCCTCCTTGTGTGAACTGGTCTACCTCTCCCCTTAGACGTTACTATACGCGTTAGCCATTTCCTCAGCCCTTCCCTTCTGGGAAGGGTTTTTTCCTTTCAAGCCAGACTAAGAAAAAAATGGGACTAGCCTGCTGATTTGTATTGTCTAGATGGATCTTAGCAAGTGTTTTTCTCTCTTTGCCCTAGGAAGTTATAAAAATGAATCAATAATTCTCTTTTATGAGCTCTGAGCTTCAAGACAGAAAAGAGTGTTCTGGCAAGATACTGAGGTTTTATATCTATCTTTCTCCTCCTCCAGAGTTACCCTGTTGCTGACCTTTGCTACATCTGGGTAGTGACACACATAAATTAGGTGAGCTGGTTCAAAATGGCAAAGTGAACAGGAAGTTAAATTTTAAGAAGTAGAAACAAGTCTTTCAATGAATAAGCATTCCTCAAAGGAGGTATCTGGTTCCTTTCCTCCCCAAAGTATAAGTCAATCACTAAACAGGCATTTCTTAAGTTCCTAGGTGGTCCAGTGGACAGAGTACTAAGCCTGGAGTCTGGAAAACCCGAGTTCAAACCCAGTCTCAAACACTTACTAGCTGTGTGACCCTGGGCAAGTCACTTAACTATGCCTCAGTTTCCTTTTCTGTAAAATGAGCTGAAGAAGGAAATGACAAACCACTCCACTATCTCCACCAAGAAAACCCCAAATGGGGTCACAAAGAGTCAGTTATGACTGAAAGGACTGAACAACAAAAAACTGTTCTGAGTGTTAATGATACAAAAGAAGTCCCTGCTCTCAAGGTGTTCACAATCTAAGAGGAGAAAGAGTGAGTAGAGTAGGAAGAGGAGAGGAGGAAGGATCAGCAGATCCAGCTTTGGAGGATTGACCAGTAGCGTTTCCTGCCCCGTATCCCTCCTATAGAACTCTATCTCACAGCCTTTGTCTCATTCTTGGCATCCATTAACTGCTTTCAGCAGCGGCTTCTCAAACCTAGCTGTGGCTGCTTTCCTCAGTTTACCCTTAATGCTTCCTGCTCTTCTGCCATGGCTTCAGCTCTTAGGTGACCCCTTAAAATGAGAAAGGCTAGCTCATCTATCAAAGTTCAGCCCCGCCCCGCTCAGTGACAGGATCAGAGAACCGAGTAAATGGACTCTGGGATGATTTCTGCCTGAACCAGTGGGAGCCCCAAGTCATACACCAACCTCAGTTCTAGATATAACTCGTTAATGGGCTGCTCTTAGACTCAGGTCTAACCTTAATCACTAACTCTAATTGCTTCATTTGACCTTTGTGAGGCTAAGATTCCTTATCTGTAAAAGAGAGGTTCCTTTCCTCTTCAAAGAGAAAATTAGTCACTTAACAAACATTTATGAAGCTCCTACTGTGTTCCAGGTACTGTGTTGAGCTCTGAGGATACATAGAAAGTGATGAGAAATTCCTCTCAATGAATTCACAATCTAATTAGAGAGGGAGAGAGATTCATAGGACTTTATGATTCTGTCATTTCTAGTACTTTTAACTGTAAAAAGCAGCATTACGTAAAAAGCAAAGGAAATGAGGACTCTCAGAGCACCATAAATACATTTCCCCTAAAAGCTGTTTTCCAGATGTTGAACACAGATTTCCATTTCCTGTTTCTGTCTTGAAACTTGTTATGAAACTTGGCTGGGCAATCACATAATATAATCCATTAACACGTTCTTGAAAATTGTAGTGTCACATATATAAACGACATCAAATTGCTTACTGTTTAGGGAAGGAGGAGAGAGACAGAGAAATTTGGAACTCAAATTTTTCTTAAGTGAATGTAAAAATTGTCTTTACATGTAATAGGAAAAAATAAAATACTATTTTAAAATGAAAATGGTAGCATCTCTCTAAGACTGGCATAAGAACAACTGAAATAATAAGAAGTCAGAAAGTTGAACTTCAAAGTGTATCTTCAAGCATCAGATACCCCTGACCTTCAGTTCTATTCAATAAATATTTATTATTCCAGCTTCCATTTTCAGGAAATTATGGTAGGTGTGGGATATACAAAAAATAAAGAAAGAAAGAAAAATTGCCTCTTCCCTCCAAGAACTTACTTTATGTAGGTAAATAAAATAGCTAAGTAGCTAAGTAAATACATATTAATTTGAGAAGGGAGATCTTGGGCATTTAGATATTCCTATGGGGTCTGGAGGTATCAGGAAAAACTTTTTGTAGACCATGAGATCTTTAAGGATTACTAAAGGAAACAAAAGATCTTAAAATGTGGAGGTAAGCTATCACAGTATCCCAAGAGATATGCTGTTGTGAGGATGAGAAGGACGAAGATATAAAAAGAAAAACAGAAAAACATGGAGGAAAGGTGGAATTTGAAGGGAAACAAGTCTCATTTTGAATATGCTGAGCCTCAGATGCCTTTGGGACATCCAAATGAAAATGTCCAATGGGCAAAAGCTGTGATATGAGCTCACCATTGATGAGAAATATTAGATCTGGCTGTGTACCTGGAAGACATCTGGCTAGAGACAAGTGTGTCCATGGGAGCTGAGTAGGTCATTGAGAAAGGGTACAGAGGGAGAATAGAAGGGGAGCCTTTGAGGCAGTGGTTGGGGGTGAGAAAAGGATGGTGTTATAGTCAGGAAGATTGAGAAGATGCAGTCAGAGAGCTAGGAAAAAAACCAGGAAAGAACAGTGTCAAGAAAGTAGGGGAAAGTTTTCAGAGAAGAAAAAAAAAAAGAAATGTGTAGATGAATAACTTTGTATATCTGAAGGGAATAATAAGCTGTGCATGATAGATTTGCAGTTTCATGTGCAATCATCTTTTTATAGTACTGTGTTATGGAAATGCTTGTTTTGTTTTATGAATTGAGAATAAAATAATTTTTTTAAAAAATTAAATAAACTCTATGTATAGCATGCCCCTGATCAACCAGTTTACTATCAAAAAGGGAAATAAAGTTATTTTAGCAGGAAAATAGAAGTTTTCAGGAGAAGGGTGGGATCAGTTGCTCAACAAATGTGAAAATTGCAGAGAGGTCAAAAAGAAGAAAGAAGGAGAAAAGACTGAAATTTAGCAATTCGGACCTGACTGGTAGCCTTGGACAGCGCATTTTCTGTGGAGTGGTCCAAATTAAGGCCAGATGGCTAGAGGTTAAAAAGTAAATGGGAAATGAGGAAGTAGATGCAGCAAATTTAAACAGTTTTCTTTCTAAGAGTTTGGCCATCAATGGGAGTAGAGATGCAGCACATGCACTGGGAGGAATGATTCTCTGCAAGGAGGGTCCAATTGAGATTAGATAACAGAAACTTGATTCTCAAAGGACATACCATGTTTACTGACTTTGGACTGTAGGTATTGATTGCTTTCCAGAACGGTGGAAGAAATTCTATTTCATTACTCAAATACAGAAAATGAACCTGACTTGGCCCCTTTCTATCTTTCTACTCTTAGACTTTTTAACCCGCCAAGTATTATAAGGTCCAGCAACACTGGTCTAATTGCTGTTCCTCTCACATAACACTCCATCTTCTAGCTCTTGCCTTTTCATCCCAGGCCAGGAATGCTCTTCCTTCTCAATTCTTCTTGGATTCCCTGACTTCCTTCAAGACTTTGCTCAAATCTTGCCTACTGGGAATGAGAGACAGTCAGTAAAAACATAGTGAGTACAGGAAGTATAACAAGACTAAAGAGGTAGGAAGAGATGGGGTCAAAAAAGGCTTTCAAGGCCAAATGGAAGACTTTATATTTAATCACGGGGGTAATAGGGAGCCAGTAGAATTCATTGAACAGGGGTGAGGAATGACATGGTCAGACCTGCCCTTTAGGAAGGTCACTTTGACAGCTGAATAGACACAGGATGGACCAAAGTTGGGAGAGATTTGAAGAAGGCAGACCAGCAGACTAGCATGATATTGTAATAGTGCAAGCAGAAGGTGATAAGACCTTCACCGAGCTGGGGGTGGAGAGAAGGGTTTCATGGGAAAGATCTTAAAATCAACAGGCTTTAGCAACAATTTGGATGCAGCGGCATAGCATGCATAAGCCAGCTCCAGAGAGCCAACTGTTCAACTTAAATAATTTTATATTAAATAAATATAACTAATATATAATTAATGTAATAATAAATACAAATTTAATTTAAATAAAGCGTGAGCATTTATACCTCAGAAATCATCCAGCATTCTAAATGAGGGCTCGCTTTATTATTCTGTTGATTTCTAGACTTAAGAAAGTGATGGAGAAAGAGCTAATAATGAAAAGTAAACTTAAGAGTGTGTGAGATTGTATATTTTTTGAATATTTTATATATATACACAATTGTATATACAATATATTGCATATATTATATATAATATATTATGTACATATACAATTGTATATATAATATTATATATATAATTGTATATATAATATATATGTACATATATACAATTGTATATATAATATATTTTATATATGTGTATATACACATGTATTTGTGTGTATGTGTATGTGTGTTTTGAGGGCTTGTTATTAAATATTTACCAGCCCACCTCTGGACATGTAAGGAGAGGGAGGGAAGGGAGAGTGAAGAGTTGAAGATGCCACCTGGATTGGGAGCTAGGATGACTGGGAGGAAGAGCATCCCCTCAGTGGTACATGCAGGTAAATTGAGAGGTTTAGTGACTTGCCCAAGGTCACATAGCTAGTGTCTGAGATTGATGAGTTTAATTTGGTGTAGTTTTTTTCTTTTCTATTTTTCATTGTTATAAAGGCGCTCTCTCTCTCTCTCTCTCTCTCTCTCTCTCTCTCTCAGGTAAGGAAGAAGGGATATATTCAGAAATGAAGGATGATGTAAAAACAAA